TGCGGCAGGCGAGGAGGAGGTCAGCCGCGCGACTGCAGAGGGCCCGGGGAGGGACCCCGGCCGCCCAGAGGGTGGAGCCCGCCACACGCAGCCCTTCTGTCTGCGGACGTCTTGGAAGGGGCAGCACCTGAAGGGCTCAGAAGGGCGCAGATCCGGCCCAGTTAGGGTAGGTAGAAAGTTAGCTGCACGTGCAGGGGTGACACTGGGTTGCCACTGTGAACTTGGAAGTCATCTGCAGAATTGCTTAGAGAGGCCCGGGAAGATGCCAAGGCCGTTGGCTAGGAAACCAGAACTGGTTGGGGTGGAATAAAGGAAAGCTTCAGCAGGCCGGGTGGAGGGAGGACCCTGGGAAGCCTGGAAGGGTTTAGGGGGCCAGAGAGAGGCCCTCACAGCCCCTTCCCGGCAGCCTGAGTTGGTCCGGGTCAGCCTAAAGTGGGGTGCCTCGGTGAGGGGTGGCTGTGAGCTCCTGGTCTCTTAGAAGGGCCTCAGGGGAAAGTGTCCAGAGCAGCCAGGTTAGGTGGTAGGGAGGGGGTGAAGGGCAACTACAGAGGGGTGACAGACGAGGGGACCCCAGGTAGGCCTACTTGTTATACAGCACAATGTCTGGCCGCCACACAAGACTGCTGGGGATGCGGATGGCATTCAGGCCACCGTAGGCATCAGGGTCCCATCGTAGGTAGGCATCTGTCCACTCCTGCCGGATCCACAGGTACAGGGTCAGCACCTGGTTCCGTTCATCCTGGAGGCAGGGAGTGGACACCTGTATTTGCATCCTCTGCCCTCTGTGCATGCTCAACTTTGGGGCTCTGGTCAGCACTCTGCCCCTGGCTCCCCTGTTCAGTCCACTTCCCACCCAGGTCTGACCTCGGTGGGTTTTTCTCATCACTGGACTGCAGGTTCTTCAACAGTTATATGGGGTAGGGGATAAGCCCTGCTTGGAGATTCAGTGAGTTCAAGGGTGCAGAGTGTGGGGCACACCACGGGCACCTGACAGTTGGGGACATTGATCCTTGTTAATATAACACTTACAGACTTGCTGGGAGAATGATCCCAGTCTCTCACCCGTTTGTCCCTTGACACTGTTACAGATAACACTCCACAGCTCTTCTAGCACAGCCACAACGTACCATGTCGATAATCTGCGACAGTGTCACCTCCAGGGTCACATTCAGAGTCTGGTCTGTGTCGGCCACAGGTCTCAGAGCACTTGTGTAGTTGGTGAAGAGATCACGGAACAGCTTGTGAGCCAGCCTGCCCTCAGCTCCAAAGCACCCTGGAGGAGCAGTCAGGTTTGTCCAAACTTAGCTGGAGCCCGTCACCCATTCCAGTGCCCCACAGCTTTTTCAGTGTCCACCTGCTGCCTACCCTTTGTCCCTCTAGTTATGCTTCTAGTTCGTCCCTGGTTTTTCTCCAAGGACGAATGAGGCCAAGGCCATAAACTTATCTTCTGGAGAGACACTGACTTGTTTCTTTCCCTCTCTTCCCTTCTCAAGGATCTGGATTCTGCCTGTCCTGCCACAAAGACTGGAGGGATCTGGGCTGGGGATTTAACACAGCTCTTGCCTGGCAAGCACTAGGTCGGGAGTTCGATCCCTGGTACCAAAACCAAAACAACAAACAAACAAACAAAGGCTGGAGGCATCCCATTATCCCAGTCCTCCAAACATCTACCCAGGCATTCCAAACTTTATTACCCTGACCCTCTGGTCTCAAACCTTTCTACTTAGGGAACATTCCTTCTTCTGCAGCCAACTACTAGTTGGTTTGTTTTGGGAAGAGGTTGTTCTGTCTTGTCCAAACTTGAATACCTGAACTCAAACCATCTTCCTGTCTCCGCCTCCTGAGTAGCTGAGACCATAGGTGTGACCACCATACCTGGCATTCCCTCTTCTGAAAATATTCTAGCTTTCCTTTGTTCCTGACTTAAACACTGTCATCAGAATCTTGTCCTTCCTCATTTTTTTCTTAAGGCAGGTTTTTCTTCTTGGTTCCAGACCATTATGAACTGTTGTCCACTGCTTTATTTTTTTCGAGCATTTTAAGCTCTGTAGTTCCAAAATATTAACTCATTTCTTGCCCCATGCTTAGAAATCTGCCTTTTCTTTTTCTTTTTTTGGTCCTGGTACAGTGTCTGCCACGGATGTCTGGCGTGGATCAGAATCAGGGCCTGTGACATGCTAAGGATGTGCTCTACCACCGAGCTATCCCTCCAAATTCTGAAACCTGTGTGTGCCCCCCCATAT